GGAGGCAGGGTAAAATCTACAGGTTCAATAATCCTGAAAGTATACGAGCTTCTCATGTCACGATCCCAGCCAGGAACTCCTTAATTGAGCCTGTAAATTTGGTGAACCTCTCAGCAAGAGAGTTGAAGCAAATGTCTTTCCACCCAATTAATAAAGCCAAGGTTCACCTGCCTCTCGTGAGCGATCTGTGTCCAGACCTGCTTCCAAACCGCCAGGGTCTCCGCCTGTTCCCGTTGCTGTGCAGCGTCTCAACACGCGAACTGGGAATGCGAATGGCAAAGAACTTCAGCATACTCGACCCTGCAGCCTGGAGTGAACAACCTGTCTTCACCCCTCAATCGGGGCTTTAGCCCAAGGTATCATTCATCAGGGCCCATGATATGAACGTGAGAAGGCTGCAGTCTCACGAACCGAAGCAGAGCACAGCATCACTTGGCTGCTTCTTCGGGATACTTCCAGCAAGAGACGAGAAGAAAACTCCACACACAACTTTCTGCACAATGCTGCCGGCAGATGCTGCCCAAGTACGCCGCCACCCTGCGTGGAATTGGTCAGCGCCCACCCCGCAATTGGGTCCTGCAGCAAGGCCACTGGAAGCCGTAATTGCACCCGCACGCACGGTAAACATCAAGGACCACGAAAACGCAGGCAGCAGAATGCATGACTTGACACAGGAGCTCTTCAAACCAACTTCGTCATGCCAGGAATGTCTCAGTCCGGGCAGTGGTTGCATCATCTAAGCATCTAAAGGACCATGGATTCAACAACACTAGTCCTTGGCCGGACTTTGTTTTGAAGCACGGCTCTGCAGCTATGCTGCCTGAACGCAGTTACGCGCTGCCTCAACGCAGTTACGTGCTTCCATGGGCAAATTCTTCTGTACCCCCAGAAAACAAACCAGCCCACAAGCCAAGTGTGACACACATGTTCGTGGTGCGTTCCCGCACGTTGTGCAGGAGGCGTGTTGGCTAGTCGCAACATGTCGAACACACGTGGGCCAACATCGTTGCCATCATCATGACCAGCATCATCAACGTTTCTGGTAGAGGTGGTGCCGGGTGGCGGCGGCAGTAGTGGTCTTTGCCTTTGCGTTTGTGGTGCTGTTGCCACATTGCAGTTGGAATGAGGCCAGAGTGGTCCTCGTGGAGACTGGACCTGAGCTCGTTGTGCTGAAGTCTTTGCTACCCCCCTCCGCCCCCCCTCCCCACCACCGGAAGGATGCTAAGCATGACACAAGGAGGCCGTCATGGAGCGAGTTTTGAGACTCCAGGTCGGTGCACAACCCCAGAACCACTTGTCCGAAGCCAAAAGAGTGCAGGAAACCTCGCAAATGATCACATTCCCTGACTAAGACCTGCCACGCGCAGGCAGGATGATCGCCCATCAAGCCTGGAAACCTGCAGCCTTGAACCGGGCCTAAGAACTAAGCTCTAAAAGCCAATACCCGATAGCCTAAAGCTCTCTCGCAGTGAGTCCAGAAGCCGAACACCGGCTCCATGCCAGTATTCGAAAGGCTCCAGGGGTAGCCAGTCCAATAGCCTGCAGTGCTTGGTGCGGAGGCTTCGGTGGACTGCAGTCGCCAGGACTTGCTGCTTGTTGGTTGTTCTGACGAAGACGATCTTCTTTCGAACAAACACAAATGTGCACTAATCTTGCAAAGCAAGGAAAAAGGGGCCTCAGTCGTTCGCCAGCTCCTTTCAGTTCCGAAACTATTTGTGTACTGATTTTCCCGAAGGAGACGGACCGATATATACTGTAAACTCGTACGATCGTGTCCGTATGCCCAGAAGTATGAATAGTGAAGTAAACAACACATGTATACCTTCAAAGCAGGGGGCATGTGTGCTCGACCCCTCCCAAAATCCTGCTTCGACTTCATGAAATGTATGCATGTGGGGGTTCATGCAAAGTATACTGTACATAGACAAGGGATGTTCAAGATGCTTACTCAGTGGAGGGATCGTTTTTTCACAAGCTTCTTGGATGCCCTCCTACATGACAGGTCGACCGACAAACTCCACAAGGCCTTTCGGTGTCGTCGCTGCTACCCTTGTCACCAGTATACTAATTAGCTGTTATAGTTCCAATCATCAGCATCCTCTGGGCACGCGGCTGCTTCTCTTCCACTGGCCAGGGTCGGCTGTTACCCAGTCCCCAGGCAAGGGGCACACCATGGCGCAGGCAGAAGCTCCTTGACAACATGGGCGGATCTTTCGAAATTCGGGCAAAAATGCGAGCTGTGTAACCTGACAGTCTAGCTTGTGATCAAATGGAAGAGCCCCCAAGGCCAGCTGAGTGTTCAGGAGGGCCCAAAGTCGTAAGGAATCGGGTTTCTCAAAGGCTTCGCACATTTTGTAGTGCCATGAGACCTTTGAACTCGACCGCAGCCCAACAACCCCCACGGAAGGCTTCAGACTCAGCGTAGTAAGCGCCTCAGCTTGTCACCCAGCTCGGTGCCGAAGAGCCCTGGGAAGCTGCCGACCAGCACCTCTGTCTGATAAACATCTACATGCGAAACACGGAAACCCTAACTGAATCCAAATGAGGTCTGTGACCCCAAAGTCTTAGATCTCACATGCTGCGGTATTGAGACGACTCTCAGCGTAAATGAGCCCGCCAAGCCTTAATGTCATCCACCACGAAGTCCCCGAGCAGTGCAGCTTCCGTGTACATGTTGCCTTCGGCGTGGAGATGGGGAGTTCGCGGTCTAGCGAAAATCTTTCTCGGAGCTCTAGGTACTCTAGTTCCAGATGGATCGAGTGCGCGGGCTGCGCAAATCCCATGGGCCATGGTAGCTTTGGCTGACACGTAGGTTCTTGGCGACAAAGCAAGGAGGAACTGATACCAAACGCTCCTGTCTGCATCATCTACGCGGGTTTGCGCAAATTGCTATTGCGGATTCTGAACTGCGAAAGGGGATAAATGCGGCACCCCAAACCATGCAACAGCCCATAAAGAATCTACCCAAGCCAAACGGCAACGCGAAAACCGGCAGACTTTCGGACAGCCAAAGCACACAGCAGCAAAGCTGACCCCTTTCGCGTTGCAGTTTGGCTCGGGGGGAGACACAACAACGAGATTTACGGTCTGTTGTATGCTGTGGGAGGCCGAATACTTTGAACCCTTTCGTGTTGCAGCTTTGCCCGGAGAGGAAAGCAACAGCGGCGACATGTAGTGCATGATTTGTTGCATGCTCTGGGGTGCCCCAAAGTTTGGCTTATTTCGAGTTGCACTTTGGCCCAGGGAGAACAACAACTGCACTTGTGGGCTGGTGTGTTCTTTGGGGTGCCGCACAGTTTGACCCCATTCGCTCTCCAGCTTGGTCGGGGAGGAAAAACAACAACGAGATTTGTTTGACGGCATCCCAAAGCATACAACAGGCCAGAAATATTGTTGTGGATCTCCCCGAGCCAAACTGCAACGCGGAAGGGGTCTCAACTTTGCGGCACCACACAGCATACAAGCAGCCCATGAATGTCTTTCAAGTTTTTCTCGCCGTGCCAAGCTGCAATACAAAAGGGGTGACACGTTGCGACAACCCAAAAGCATACTGCAGCCCAGAAATATCGTTGTTATTGCTTTTGTTACACTTTTCTACGCCCCAAAACATGAAACAGCCCCGTCAATCTCGCTGTGGTTTTTCTCCCCACGCCAAGATGCAGCGCGGACGTGTCAAACTTTGCAGCACGTGGGTGTTGCCGGGGGGATGCTAGTTTGTCTTGCTGCTGCTATCGGGGGGGGGGGGGTGTTTGTTTTTTTGTAGTTCCTGCAGTTTCTTGCTGAAAGTGGGGGGCAGGTGGGGTGCTTCTTTTTGGAGTTGCTGCATGGGAGCGGCGCGCGGGGCTTGTATTCGTGTTCCTGCCGGCGGGGTGATTGCGTTTTGGTGGCGCTGCACGGAATCGAGCGCTCACTCACTTGGTCGGTTGCCGGGGCTTCGACCACGGAGCGCAACCACAACAATCAGCAACAGCAAAACGCAAAAAACAACAACACGCCGTACCACACCCATCTCCTGAAGCACGAAAGGGGTCAAGCTTGCCGGCATCTCAAAGCATGCAGCAGCCCAGAAAATTGCGTCTTCGCGGCACCCCAAAAGCATGCAACACATGTCGTTGTTCTTCACTGCAAACGAAAGGGGTCAAACTTTGCAGCACCCTAAAACATACAGCATCCCATCAATGTCGTTGTTGCCTCTCTGACCGGGCAAACTGCAACACGGAAAGGGTCAAACTTCGTGGCACCCCCATGGCATACAACAGCCTTCACATGTCGTCGTTGGGCCAAGCTGCAACAGGAAAGGGTTCAAACTTTGCGGCACCCCAAAGCATACAACAGCTCATACACGTCGTCGTTGTTTTTTCCCACCCGGTCCAACCTGCAACACTCATGGATCACCTCAGAAGATCCTGATGCCCTCCAGGCCTTCAATGGGCCTCACATCGGCCCCCTCCTCTAGGAGTTGATACCTGGATGCCAGGCTCGGGGTCTGAGCTGAGATGCCTGTATCTCCTGTTGGTGTTGCTGTTGCCTTCATTACTATTATTGTTCATTATTGCATGTGTTGTCATTGCTACGACTACTACCGCCAATGCTACTGCCACTACGAGGACGACGACTACTAGTGCTGCTGCTACACTGGAGAGTACTACTAGCAATAGCAACAGCTTTACTGCAATCGAGTTTCTTACTTTTGGTAGGTGGGTGCAGGTGGGCGAGAGAGACTTAGGATGACTCGAGGGCTTGGGCGGCTGACAATCCACAGGCCAAAGCCAAACCACCCCGAAATCTGCGAGTCGACACAGCATGGAGTGTCGGAATTTTGAACCAAAGCCCCATAAGGAAGTAGAAGGCTGTTGCGGGTTCTGGGTTTTACCCCAGAATCGCCAACAGGCTGAGGAACGTCAGCCGTGCTGCACCGCCACCGACCTGGCGAAAGAATGGAGGTTCGGGAAAGATTGTTTGCGGGGATCTTGAACAGCCAACAATGGGGGTGGTGAGGAAACTTCAATGTGCGTGGAACCCTTAAGAGTCCCGCCACAAAGATCCGAAAGTTCTCCCTGTGACATCCCGCGAATCCTGATAACATCGAGTCCCGCAATTCCAAGACCAAGTCTCCCAAGTCCCTCCCTCCCTCCCTCCGGCCGTGTGGAAGGTGCGGGTATTTGCTAGAAAGCCTTAGCTCGAAGCAGCGAGTCATCATGCCACGATCACCCGCAAGCTTCCGGTTAGACTTGCCTGGGAGATGCGTTGAGCACTTGTGCTGTGATGGTTTTCATAACAGGGAATGACTGGAATTGGGGAGCTGAGTAGATTCATTTCCGACCTTTCTCTTCCACCGGTCTTCTATTAATGGTGGCCAACCTCGGTGCATCCATTGGCACAGTGCCCCCGACACTACCTCAAGCCCCAGAACCGAACTGTTGTAGTTGAGCTAGCTAGCGTAGCGTGCCATGTCAAAGTGACGACGGTGGCCTCGCTGTGCCTCAGCATGAGTCATACTTGCCACAAGCAGCGTCTGATACCGACGCGCTACGCATGCCTGTGCCCATGGGAAATTGAACCAGTCAAACCACCGTCGACCCTACATGCATCTGTTCGATCAACCTCAGCCCAACGTGCTGTTGCTAGCGTGACACCAGGGCAGAGACATTGCAGGTCGAAGAGCATGGAAGCTGCCATGAGCTCTCAGTTGCGTGACACCAAGACAGCCCAATCACCACCTGTCAGCCCACGTAAAACCGCATAGAACCTATACCAGGCCAAGCGAAAACCTAGTGCTCTCCCAACCCCAACCCTTGGATCCTTTGCTTGAAGACGAAGCGACTGTGGAGGTGCATCTCAGACACCCCCAGGGGTGTGGAGGCCACAGGCCCACAGTGGAGGCCTGAGTTTCCACTGTTGGAAACTTTGTTGGTCTGGGCTTCAGGGCTCGGGTCTTGACCCCTCTGAAAGTTATCTTTTTGTTGAGAGAATGGGAGCACATGGGACGCCAAGAATCAGTGGTTTTCCAGCATCGCTTCACGGTATGTAACGGAATGTTGCAACCGGCTTGATCCTCTTACCGAAAGGTGACGAAAGCCGTTTGGACTGTACTTGGAGCTTCGAGTGAACTTCACCAGCCGACATCAGCCCACACCGCAACCCCTCTCATCACGAGCAGCTGCTATGAGTATGACGAGTCACGAACCCTCATAACCACCTTGACTGAATTTCAATGCGCGAATCTGAACTCGTAACATCGGCACCTCAACAATGCAAGCCAGGCGCTCAGCTCCTGGCAAGGCTCCAGCTACTTTGCTGGGCTCCCGCGTGGAAAGTCCGAGGACCCACTTAGCAGGATACATGTCATGACTCAAGCCTATGCTTTCAGGAAGATCTTGCAAAAACTGAGTGTAAATGCGCCCAGAGCTCACCATGCAATCTCTGACTCACCTAACCTCACGAGTTCGCTGCTTGCTTGTCGATTGCGGTTTTCCACATTTGGGGGGATCGCAGCCACCTAGCCATGCATGACTTCACCATTTAGGGTCTCATGGGCTTCGTCTCGGGTTCCCTCCTCCAACAGCTTCTCGATCCAGCTCTGCTTGTGGACCGGCGTCACAGACTTGTTGCAACCCGACTCCCAACCGCCGCTGTCCTCGGTTCGATGGCCTTAAACCTCAAGTCTAAAACCGATGGTAGAGCAATTGCTGTCTCACACTCGGCCCAGCCAGATGTGAGGTTCATGGTTCGCAGTTGGTGACATGGAAAAACTGTCAGAAGGGGCCATGGGGTTCCTAGGCCTCGAAGGTTGGTGGTGTTCAGGATCCCCTTCAAGGACTTTGGGATTTCAGCCTCCTCTCACATATCTTTCGATGAGTCTTTCAACCTTCCTGACAAAAGGCCTCAGCCTCTGAAAACCTCGAGGGGTTCCCCAAAAATCTAAACAAGACCCAGCCGCTGTCCCCACGACCACGGCCCTGTGCCTCACCACGTCACTGCGAAGCACCGCCACCATGGCCCCATAGCCTCAGAAAGTTGCCTAGTGTAATGCCTTGCAACAGAAGGAATAAGCACATTGGGTTAAAGTGCGTGCATGTGGGTCTCACGAAAAATATGGTTCGCTTATGTACACAGACACATACATGCCTACATGCATGTTTGCCTACATACCTACATAACCTTCACCTATACTTAAACATACACATGCACATAGCAAAGACCTATATCTATATGCACTAGTGTATGCGTATGTCCATGTGTATGTTTATGTATATGTATGTAGGCTCAAAGAACAGAAAGGTCTCACGGTTTTCTGGATAACACTGACAACAACTGGTCTTCCACCGAAGCCGCTGTACTGATGCCGTTATGACATTATGATCATGCACCTGCCGCAGGAGCATGCGTCCTGAAACAATCGTCCAGTTTTCTGATGCAACGTCACATCGACGAGATATGAGACAAGTGCTGCCGAAGCATGGGCCAGGGCGGTCAAGCGCATCAATAGATATCAATAGGGCTGCGATGGTCTTAGCGCGAACTCTGCGGGCTACGGCATGTGCTGGCTCGCAATGGTCTCAGAAGTCGTCATCTTCGTCCCCCAGAATGGAACCCAGTAATAAATCAAGGAGCGGCTTGTTCTGTGCCCGGCTGTCGTTTACTAAACCTTCCCAGCCAGAGCCTGCCGTTCTTCGTAGAAGATCTTCGCGGTCTCGTCCGCTTCATCAAAAGCATTGTGCTTGTATAAAAGGAGGGCCCCGTGACGGGGCTCCAATGCCCACATCGAGAAGATCAGCCGGCCACGTACGCCATCAAATGACACGGGCGATGGGAGCGTGCCGAGGATGCGTTGAGGACACTTTTGTGACAACAAAGCTCGCGCCCAATCCAAGCACCAACAGCCAACAGTGCCAGCTGCTAAGGCACACTCCTTCTCGCCGGCCATGTCCGCCGTGATACGAAAGCTGTCATGACAATCCGATTGTGTTCAGCCTGGCAGGTTCGGCAGCCCCGAGTCCCAGTATGCAACGTAGATCCACATCTTGTTGACGCTGCTTGGGGTAGAAAGCATGCTGCGATCCTTGAGCCCGAGAAGGTCACGACGTATCTAAATCAAACTACTAGCGCTCCTTCTTTGTACAGCGACTTATTGTCACGGCTCCGTTTGCGATGATGCTCCATATGCGCTGTCGTGCTTATGCCGGGATTGAATTGAAACTCGGCTGGTCAGATTCTGAGAAGCCCTAAACATCCAAACGCAAGTCCAGACTGCGTGTGGTTGTCGCTCAGGTCCGCAGTGAAGCATACACAACTCCCATGAAGCAGGTTGTCTGAGAGGGCAAGGAAGAAGTAGTAGAAGATTAGGAAGTGTGCAAACACGAAAGCATGCACATCCTTCAGTCACAACATACCAGGGCATCTTGACATTCAAGGCGCCCTTGCTGTCTTGTACCCCCTTCCAGGACCTGACAACATGGCACACTCAAACTTCCCGTTTTGGCAAAGCTGCGCTGCACTCCGAGGTCCAGCTGTCGCATGTTCCCGGCCAAGTACCTGCACTCGACAGTAGACGGACACAACGATACATCAGATGGATAGCGTCTCGGGCAAAGACCGCAGCAGGATCCAGTCTGAACGATGACCAGCGCACAAAGTCATGCAGGGATCAGGCAGGAGATGGCTGCACAATACAACGGAACTACTTTTTTGGCGGGTGACGAGCTTGCGAAGCCCCAACATCGTGACTCGTGACACCAACTGAAACCGTGAGCACTGCACTGCATCACCGGTATAGCCGGACCCGCTGCAAGTAGAAGTCTCCGTTCTACAGTCCCCCAGCCATTCGACTCATCAGACCTACCCACCCTAAAACCTAAAACCTCAACAAACCCTCCCCAAAATCGGGAACAACCCGGAAGACGGAGCTTGACGTTCCGTTTAAAGCGATGGGCCCACGCAATCCGAGCACACATGGCATTTGCACTTATCTGGAAAGTGAGAGCAGCTTCGGACATGATCCTGTTGCTGCCTTTCCCAGAAAAAGCACGAAGTCAGATTCATAATTCATAATATATTCATAGTTTGTTCTCTTGCTGTTTGATGATGCGGTCATTCCAAAACCAGCCTCGGCCGCAGCCGACTCTCGGTGGCACTGGGCTCGGCGAAGTGCTGGAAAGGTGGAAGCCCGTAGAGGCCTTTGCCCAAGACATGCAATAAGGGCTTCTGGGCCTTCCAGGTCAAGTCTTGGGGAGCAGGCCTTCGTCGCGATGTACCTAGAACGCCCTGATGCAGCAACCGCGTGGGGAAAAGTCGCACTCCGCCTCTTTTGGGCCATGGCGAACATCGAGATATCGACGCACGAAAAATATTCTACCCGTCAGCTACAAAATCCAAGACGGGTACATCGGCCTACGAACGAAAAGCAAGCCTCTGTAAATTTCGAGCTTGAATTTAGACGGGTTCGAGAACTCGTAGTCTTTGGGGTTTCAAGCATTTGCTTCAGATTTTCAATTCACATCAGTATGAACTAACTAACTGACTAGATGCAGATCCCAATCTTGTGTGACCAGAAGGCTCTAGAGCAGTGAGACCCGAGAATCCTTCGAACCACATCTCACACCCTTCACCCCGCTTGCCAATCAACCCGCCCCTGACCTGCAAGTTTCCCTACACTCATAGACCTGACAAGACAAATCCGTCCAGCCAGTCGATGCACATCAACCCACAACTAAACACCCTAAACCTTAAAGCCCTACATGGGCTCAGCTGGCCTTGCTCAGCAGCCTCAAGGATGCCTCATGGAGGAAAGAACTGGGATTCCATCTTGTTGTGCTGAGGGTTCAGAGGTTGGGCTCTTGCGACTCGGATGGTTCAGGGGTTAGGGCTTCGGAGTAAGGGTCCAAGGTTTGGGTCGGCGAGTCAAACAGCGTCGAGAAGGGCACGGTACTGGTCTAGTCTTCGTCGTTGAACCCTTGCATGTTCTTTTCGAGGAACTGCATCCCATGCGGTAAGTGGTAAAATCAGCGACATGACTAATTGACGCACAACTTCGCTTATAGGATCTGCCAGGGATCAAAGCAGACTCCCAAAAGAAGGGGCCAGAAGCGTCAAACAACCACAAAGTGAGCTGGCATTTTCACCAATCACCAAATCATTTTGAGAAAACTGCGATCGAAAGCGTTAGCGGCTAATCGATCCCAGAAGCGTCACGACTCAACATGAGCTCCACTTTTTCTTGTTGAGGTCTGGCTTGGGTTTATCGGAGAGTTCTCAGTGCCGGCTTGAAGGAGCAGCAAATCTGTCTTGTTACAAAGAGAGGTTCAAGGTTTTGGGTCTAGAAGGCCCTTCTTCTTCTCGCGCTCCTCTAGGGCTGCGTCCCGTCCAACATACATAGTGAGACTCCTAGCTTGGTTGTCCAGAGCTCAAAAGAACTACCAATACAGCGCACAGAGCCCCCAACCAAAAAGCTAACGTAAAACACGACAAACTGCACCAACTAGCATGACTTGTACACCGGACCTAGCCCTAACCCTGAACCCTTTCTGCACAGACTTGTACATGCCGGCCTGATCCCTAGACCCTTAACCCTCCAAATGGTGCCAAGCGCATGCCATGACACCCCACTGATTGCTGGAGACATTGGCCACAACGCTGGAATTCAGTGCCTTGGCTTCGTCGGCGAAGCTGCGACTTGGGTTTATAACCGCTCCAGCCGTTGAAGACTCACAAGCAGTATACACAATCATGGATAGAACATAGGGGTTCCCTCGACATCGGAGGGGTCAGCACACTCTTTTTAGCTTCTGAAAAGGGTCTGTGCCAGGGTTGCTTGAATATGAAAAGGGTCGCACCGACCCCTTCGGCACTGCAGCGACATGACTTAGAAGGCACATATTGAAAAGGGTCTGTGGCAACCATGTGCGTCCAACAGCTTGATCCACCCGTTTTAGCGAAGCAGCTTATGCTAGAATGGGTGCGTGCTAGCCTCAAACCCCGAAGAAGCAGATTCGTCTGCTTTGCGCCTAGGGCCTGTGATGTTGTGATCGACCCCATTAGCTGCATTGCGCATCAGTGCGTTCGTGACAGGCGTTGTTCTTGAAAGCTTGCTTGCATGCTTGCTCGCTGGCTTGCTTACTCGCATGCTTGCTTCGGGTATGAGGAGTGACCTCACCGCCCCGTGGAGCGAGCTCTCTAGGTTCTCTTTCTTTCGCCAGGGCTCCGGGCTCGAGAGTTGCAGTTCTCTCTCGAGAGAGTTGAAGGTTGGACGATGTTATAGGGTTCAGGGATTGAAAACCCTGAGACAGAGACACAGACACAGACACAGGCACACACACACACAGACATGCACAGACACACGCAGGCACACACACAGGCACACACACACACACACAGACA